TCTTCCTCCTCCTCCAACGTATCTCCCAACGCCTCTTCTTCAGCAGCCGCCAGGATCTCTTGATTATATGTTTCCGAACACTGGCGGTACGTTCTTTCCCATGAGGCAAAGTCGGCATTGGGAAAACAGGCGGCCCAGGTCATGCGCTGGATTTGAGCGGAGTCTTCCACCATCTCCCGGACGAGCTCTTTCTTCTCTTGCTCGGCCTTTTCCGAGAGCTCTTGGGTAAGACTCTTCTCTTGGCTCACCAGGCGTTCTTTTACGTTGGCCAAAGATTTCTCCATGGCTTCGTAAGAGTGCATTTTTTGGCGAAGAGGTTTCAGCTCGGCCTTAAGATTTGTGACGGTCGCCTCCAGCTCGTCATTCTTCTTCTGGGCCGCCTCTAACTGAGCCCGAACAGCGGCGGTAGCCTGCGCCTGATAATAAAGAATATCAATGGTCAGTACTTCATTTGGGCAATTTGAAACATTGCCTTATCACAGTTGGAGGCGACCATAGCTTTTGCGGCCTTTACCTCTTTGTTTTTCCGATCAATCAGCTTGCGAAGGCTGTTAACTCGGAGCAGGGCCTAAGTACAAAAAAAAACAGGCGTCAAGTTCCAAACAAAAAAGATAACAGGCGTCCTGGAATTCAAATACTCAAAAAAGTATACCTCAGCAAGGACCCCTGCAATCCCATCAAGGTCAAGGTGCCGGCACCCCTGACCACCTCCCTTTCAGATGGAGGAACTACTTTGATCATGGACTTGGCTACCTCAACCAAGTCAAGCCCCTGAGGGCCGGCTGCATCAAGCGTAAAAAAAAAACAAGTTAGACCTAGTCAAGAAGGAAGCAAATGAGTTTTTACAAGTAATTGTCCATACTTCTAGGCGGCCCCGCCGGGGTTTTAGAAGAAGTGGCCGGCTGCTTCTCAGCCGCCACTGTTTTCCTGGAAGACCTAGGAGAGCTTGCAACAGTCGTCCTCCGGGCCTTGGGGTCCGGTTGTTGCGAGGAAGAAGCTCTTGGAGTGCGCGACTGAAAATAAAAAGAGTTAGTATATGCATAAGACAACTCCTAAAGAAGAGTTTTCGAAGCCTACCAAGGGTGCCCCCTTGTTGGGGGAGTCGGTACAAGACTGTTGCATGAGAGAGGCCCGCAACATGGCCGTCGCAGTCTTGGATGCTGTGATTTTGCTCATGGCGTTAGCTGCCACAAATAAACAGCAAAGTTAGTAAAGATCCCAAGTATTATAATGAATTTATTAAATATAAATAAATTGTAAATATGATATTTTTTCCGTTATATAAAATCATTAATGTGAAATGATAATTTTTTAATAATTTAAATCCTAAATTATTATTCATTATTTTACCATATATATCTTTTATTTCGATAGTATCACCAACCTCGTCCACAACCAACCTACTACATCAATCGATAAATTGAACCGTAAAATGTTAGCCAAACTGAAATTGATATAAAATCAAATCTATGCATTGGAATTTTTTCATCATCTCCAAAAATAACTAAAGCCATCCATATATTAAGTATACAACATCTAATCGTATGTCATTACATAAATAAATAATCGTTAAGTATCCTAAATATATACAATGTAACTAATAATTACAAATATAAATTTAAACATAAGATTTAAAAAATTACCCGGACATTGATAACCTAAAACTAACACAAAATTACTGACACAAAATTCGCTTGATGGGGTTTTGTATTGATATGGAATTTTATTTGTGTCGTATAATGTGTTAGATTTGCATGTAAAAAAACATTTAGTAAATAAAACATAAACATATAATCGTTGAGTATCCCAAATTAATACAATGTAAGTAATAATTAGAAATATTAATTTAAACATAGGATTTTAAAAATTAAGCTAAAAATCACCCAGCCATTGATGACAAAAAATTAACACAAAATTACTAACACAAAATTCGCTTGATGGGGTTTTTTATTGATACGAAATTTTGTTTGTGTCGCATGATGTGTCAATTTATAATGGTAGGTATCACAAATTTTAATTTAATTATAATTAACGAACCATTTGTATTTCTTATCATAAATACTATCAAAAATTTTCTTATAGTGATAGGTATCAAACTTTATTGTAAGCGTTTATCATTTAAATATTTCTTAGTATATTTTTTTTGGATTTCTTATACTCGTAGTTTTGAATTAATAAATTTATCATTTCCTATATTTTTATTTTATTTTTTTCATTAAAATAATTTAATTCGTGGATTATAATCTACGTGGCATTAAAATTTTAGATATATCAAATCTAATTTGCTACTTTTATCTAGGTGGCGACATAATTTTTTAATTAAAAAATAAAATACAAATATTTCTTCTTATTGGTCGAAATAAGTATATTTCTTACGTGGCGCTCCGAATGCTCTCGAAAAATGCCTACTTTATTTATATAATACATTTTTTTTAAAAAAATATTAAATTCAGTATTTATTTGTCGAATTTGTATTTTTTTGGTTTTTGATTCTTGAGTTTGATATTATTATTATTATTATTATTATTATTATTATTATTATTATTATTATTATTATTAACTATTTTGAAAATTTACATTCTACTCTGCTATATATTTTTTCTTCATTATTGCTTTTGATTTATTTTTAAAATATATGATAAAGGTTATTTTTTTGCTGTCATTGTCATATGATTTCTCAAATTACAATTTAGATACTAACTATAAATTACATTTGAATCTGACAAATTTGTTGGTTTTAAGTTTGGGTCTTTAAAATATATGGTTCACAGATGCTATTGTTGCATTGGAAATTTAATTTGTGGTCATCACTTAGTGGACTGATACTTTTTTAATGGATGATTCTGTTTGCAGCATTAATCATACTTTCAGATGGATTTTTTTTTTTTTTTTTTTTTTTTTTTTTTTTGAGGATAATGGAATTATTTTGTTCAACAAATTGTATTTTATGCTTTTTTTTTTTTTTGTAAAATCTTTTTCTAAATTTTACATTTTGCTCCACTAGATATTTTCTCTTTAATAATCGATTTTGATTTTGTTTTCTATTTTCAAATGTTGATTTGATTTATTAGGTGATTTTATGTGTTTGTAGGTGAAAAATTCAATATTCAATAAAGGAACAATATATTTTGATGGAAACTACAATATATCAATTTTGTGAAGAGACAATTGGAAGCATTTAATAAGAATTTCATATGATTAGTTTTGTACAACTAATTTTATTTTCATTGTATTCTCATATTGTTTTTTTTTTTTTTGGAAAGAATAGTTAATAACATAAATGATAAAAATCCTAATCAGAAGTATTAGTGTTTGATTAATGTTTAATAATTTTATTATAAATTATTTTGTATTTATCATTTAATGCATCCATATGTAGGTAGGCTAGCTAATGTTTTCCATCACATGTATATTGGGTTTGGGTTAAACCTATATGTATTAGTAGATGGTTTTTTTGCTTGATGCAATTTGTATTCTTACATATGATATGATATAATTTTTTTTAATTTGGATTAGAATATATCGCATTACATTTACGTAGTATTTTATGTTTCTAACAAAATACAATATAATTTATATTTACATATGTTTTGATTTTAAAAAAACCTTAGAACAATTTAAACACACAATAGTAAAATTCTTTAATTGAAAAACATATACTTTCTATTTAGCCAACAAGATTAACTCATGCATCGCACGGGCTAAAAACTAGGTTAATTAATTTATTGCTAACTCGACTTGAGTCAATTCTAACTGAAATCAATATGACTTGAGGTATTTTCGAACCTGATTTAATTCCACTCAAAACAACTCGAGTTATATTCAACCCGACCTGGTATTAAAGCCTCACTAAATTATTTGCCTACTACTCCTTCCGTTTCGTATTAATCGCAACACTTTCCTTTTACATCTGTTTCATATTAATTGCAACACTTCTATATTTGAAAAGGACTCACCATTATTTTATAATTTCTCTTTCCCACTAACCCCACTTTCACAAATATTTTATTATTTCTCTTTCCTACTAACCTCACACATACTAATTTTTTTATTATTATTTATCTCTCTTACTAACAATACTTTGTATTATAAGCCTATAAGCCTAGTCTATAATTTTCTTAAACTTTGAGCCAATCCTATCGTTGCGATTAATGCGAAACGGAGGAGTACATATCAATAATAAGGACGACTCATATTAGATATGGACTTATACTTCCTTGGTACTTTATGCATCATTTCTAGCAAGTACGTCATTGTTATAGAGAATGCTAAAAATATTAGGTTCATATATGAAAATATGAATCATATTATAATTTCAATTGTAAAGTTCATTTTCTTACTATGTGAATCAAGTTGAGGAGTATTAGGGATTTGGCCCATTTTTAGAGCTGAGATACTTAGTTAGTAATTACATATTGATGTTTAGTTCACCGGTTCTAATCTTAATTTATTGGTCTAATCCAATCTCCTAATTTGAGTAAAGGTTGACCTAATCTATACAATATAAATCATTTGAAGAGAGAGAGAGAGGAGATTAAGCTTAGATTGTACACTTCTTATGCAACAATAAGTTAAATTCAGCAACAATGTACAATGCTCGCCTAGTAAGCTTTGCTTCAAATCAAATATGTTGTTACATGATCACGTTTGAAATTCTATCATTCACGCTGCAAAGAAGCAACTCGATTATGTTTATTATTATTATTATTTCACAATTAAACACCCAAACGAGAGACACTGAGATGAAAATTAATTGCTAGAGCTTCACGAACTGAGGGTAACTGGCAAAACCTATTCCATCATATAAAAGCATCGACTTTTCATGCAGAGCACATAGCTTAACTGAAGTATAAGATTATCCCGTGGGCCACGCCTGTTTGAATTAGGATCAAGTACTTCATGCCCGTGAAACAGTTGTGCCAGCAGAAAGAAGAGCAGAGCAAATATTTTGTTACAAGAAGTGCTGAGCCATCAGAAACCATCTCTATAGACAGCAATCAAACCAAAACAAAAGGCAATTGAACCAGAAAAACGGGAACAAAAAATTAACAAACTAATTGTGTACTGACAGCTGTCTTTCAACTTATTCGTGCTGTTCTACAAGAGTCCACAAACAGCGAATCTGCTAGAACCGGTCCATTCTGAACACCACTATGTTTCTTCCTCTAAATAGTCATTCAAGTTCACAATGCTGGTAAAGTCCAACAGAGTGAGAAATACAAGGTTAAAACAGAACATAATGCTAATCCTAGTGGTTAAACTTCCATCTTCTTCCAACAAAGTTTCATACTAATGAACGCAAATTTCAGTTTGAACTATGATACAGCTGAATTCCCATCTCATGAACAAGCAGCCACATAGAGTAAATCAAGTCAGAATTTCTACAAATGCAAAGAAATGAACGTTCCAAATTTGCTTTAAAACAAGTATTACTTCAACAATCAGGTCAATAATAAAGATAGTGGAACACACATTGGTCAATATAAAATAGTAGCAGACACACATAAAGCTATCAGCCCCAATAAGCAATTCTCCACAAATTTTTTAAAACTACCTTCTCCAACTAGCTCTGTAACAAACAGAACATTGCATAGCAAGTTTGAAAGAAGAAAATGTTCAACTGTAGAAGTGTACACTTACCTGACAGGCATATCCGTCCAAGATATGTCAGTTATCCATAAATAGAAGTTACAAAACACACCTGTCTGAATATTATTCTGAATAGCATGCTTCTGAGGAAGCTTGTATGAAAATAGATGAGTACATAATATTCGGACATCTATATGAGACAGGAGACAACCGTTTCAGGGGAAACTCTTCTACACATTGATAGAATATCCCAAAAGTAAAGCATAATGAAGGCTCCAAAATACCTGCAACTCTAGTTACGGCTATCTTCCACACTCTGTGTCCTAAGCACCTCAACTGTAGATTCATAAACACATGGTTGACATGCATCCGTACAAATTAAAGTACCTGTTGGTTTTGGTTCAAAAGAAGTAAAATAACAGAAATTACCTCAGCTAGGGGAAGAATGGGTTCAGTGGTAACTGAGCCAATTTATAAGCAATTATGTCAAGTATGCAACTTTGCAAATTCTCAGAGTTGTGATATAATAACGTGGGGGTGAGTTTTTGAGTGCAGCACCTCCTGTCAATTGGTTTAACTACTCAATGGAAACAGAAAGTATACAAGTTTTCTACATTTCTAAGTAAAATACAGGAAGAGAATCGTTCTTATTAAAACTTCTAATAAATTGGAACCCCACATACATTTGGGGTCATAGAGTAGTATATTTACAGATGTTGCCAATGGCTCCCTGGGCAGCTTCCAGAAAGCCAATTACTTTCTCTTGTCCACCATGGTAACAATCTGAAAAAAAAAAAACGAAAAAGCTAGTTAACAAATAGTCATTATGAGATTAACACTATGTTTGGATAGAAAGATTTGGAAAGAAAGAGAGAGAAGGGAAAATGAGGGTTACATTTTCCCTGATTCAAATAAGACAAGGGGAAGGGAAGTTCTTTCCCTTTTCAGAAATTAAATCCTTCCATTGCTGGATAGCATTAGAAGGAAAATGAAGCTCATTCTTTCCCTCCCCTCACCTACTCCCTCTCTTTCCCTCCACAATGCTACCAAACAAAGTGAAAACGTGCATATACAGCACCAAGGGTGAACCTTTATGATGGCTGTCTGAGACAGCCAGATACAACAATTGAAGTTCAGACTTGCACCACCAGGTTATAAGTTCAGCCTCATACCCTCTTGAAGAATCTACCACCCTTCTTTCCCACTCCAGTGCCAGCAAGACTTGAAGCTAATAGAGATCTGGAATCTGGCCTCCACTTCAATTCTTTCAGGACAGAAAACAAAGTTGCCAGCTCAGCGGTGATTTCGGAATCTTTTATACTATTACATGACACCACTTTCAGTGTCTGGAGCTCTGTCCATTTATGAACCACTGAATCCAAGCCTTCCGTTGTCAGCAAAGAGCATCCTTCTAAAGATAGAGACTTCACCCTCCTGTAAACAATGATACCAACCACCATATAAATGTCGTGATTCAGACAGTATCACCTAAAGTAGTAAATGCCACTAACAACAGCAACATCAATATAATTCTAACACCTTCAAATAGGCTCCCACCTCAAGTAAGATGAAGAAAACTTGGATGAATGTAACACTCCTACTATAGAATAGAGGTTGTTCCCCAACCAATACCCACAAAACAGTGAAGAAGGAAAACCCAATCATAATAAAGAATGGACAAAACATGATCAAGCAAAATCCAGCTTCTATATTCTGGCTTATGAGAGACAAATCAAAACTGAGCACACTGATCACAAAAAACCAAACTTCAATGAAAAACAAGAATAAACTGTTAGTTTCTGCTAGAAAGCAACAAATCTACTCCCAACATACACCTCCCAAAACAATCTTCAACCATTAGTCGTGACCAGTTTGGAAATGCATGCATGCTTTTTCTAAGAATTTCATCTCTTTTTACTGGCAACTTCTCTTCTCTACTCTCATCACAGTCATCTTCTCTCTCTATGTCATCCCTAAACAGTTACTCCCATCCCATGGTTGAGCATGACCACAAAAGGCATGGCAGTCATAAAATCCTACCACCAGAGATCGACTAAGAAAATTGGGCAACTTTAATTTATACTTTTACCAGTTTTACACTTACATGGGTAAAACAGATGATCCATTATTAGAAAATTGGTACTCAAGAACAGAGAGTGATTTACTTATGGAGAAAGGTTACCATTCTAACTTATGCACTGCAAGTGATGGATTTCTGGTCTTCCATTAAATTTCAACCTCCATTGTTGAACTCAAACACTAGTGAATAGTACCAAGAAGACACTTTTCCTACAACAGTAAATCCCAACCTAATTAGGAGTCAACCTACTCTTTCCTACATTCCCCAGGTTAAAAATAGAGTTCAGTTACTGTTGAAAGAATCTTTCCTAATTGATTCTACAAACATCAAAAAATTGTCCATAGCTACAACAACTATTGATGAATGTCCAACAGCTACAAGTATCCTGGGGATTGCATTCCTCCCTTCAAGAAATATAACGATATCTCTCTCCACACCTTGCTTTATCTGTGCATAGTGCATAAATTTTCATATTCTTCAACAGCTGGAAATTGTAAACCTTGAATCTCCATTAATTTTGCTCATTAATCATTATATCAATCAAAAATCTTTGCAACCCATGTATGTCCCCAAAATATAGAACTTTGAACTTCACAAAAATACATATAAACCCACTGTATACCCCCCTCGCCAGAAAGCAAGATGTAATCTCTTTTGACCAGTTAAGGACTAATAGAAAAGGCCATAATACAAGCATGTTTCAAACTCTGCTTATCTTCAGCCAAAACAGCTTAATGGTATTTAACAACAAAGTCAGATGCCACAGGATCATTAGCAGCTTATACGCATTTGCAGGTCAAGAACATGACATTCTCACTGCGGCATACCTTCCCCATACCCCCCACTCCCCCCCCCCCCCCCCACACCCAATGCTTAGGGTTAGGGTGACAGACTTAAAGCAACAGACAGTATAACCTAAAGCAAACTGAATCAAACATTGTCATGAATTGGTAGCTAGCGCAATTTACTTCTGAATTGCCATTGCCATGATCATTGCTCATCTGATACAATAACATCAATGTTCAAATGTAGTGAGTGACAGGTGTCTTGAGTAATGTGACAACACTAATATTCATATTTCCTATCTATGAACAAGTAATACAGTAGTTTCCCAATCTCTACATAATTGATATGCTGATATTGTCTCTACAACTTCAGACAGGTCAACCATTGCATGCAAAATTGCAAACTGTGATCTTGTTAGAACATTTACATCTACAATTATAAGAACTAGCATACAATGTAACCCAGTCCAAGAATAAAGCTATACAGGAGGGATGAGGACGTCTTATCCTGCCAAAAAGAGACATTAAACAATACACAGCACAAACAAACATAAAGCAGTAAACCAATTTCATACCTACAATTAACAGCATAACGAAATATATCATCCTCTAAACCCCAACAATCCTGCAACGAAATCTCTCTAATAGATTCACACACCAAGAACAGAGCTTTTGTACTCTCTTTATCACGAACTTGGCATCGCTCCAAGTGCAGCTCCTCAAGTGTCGGACATGAGCCCAAATGCTCATCAGGACCAGGGCAGCTATCTATACTCTGGCAAGACTGGAGCTTCAATGTCTTCAAATTGCTACAAAACGAAAGTGCCGACAGCCACCCACCATCCATCTTATGACCACAAAGGGTCAACTCTTCCAACATTTGACAACATTGTCCAATGGCCTTAATCCCATCATAGCTACCCTCACACCCACTAAGCTCAAGCTTCACTAACCTCCTACAGCCCTGAGCTACCATTGTCAACCCGATATCGGTTACTACAGAATCATACAAACCATCCACGCAGCCCACTAATTTGAGTATCTGCAAGTTCTTAAACCCGGAAATCGCTGTCAACGACATATCCTCACAACAATGTATCTCCAACTCTTGCAAAATCAAACATTTTTCAGCCAGATCACCTAACCCCTTCTCACTCGAATTAACCAACGCTAATTTGCTCAAATTAGGACACCCATCAGCAAGCACTTTGAGCCCTCTATCAATCAACCTAGAACCCAAAACCCCTTCACTTCCAATCAAACTATCACTTACAATCTCCGAATCGAGATGAATCGAAACCAATCTATGTGACATCAAAATCCCAGAGCTCCAACAACTCCTAAAACAAGCTGGAGCAAGATTAATCTCACTCAAATTAGGAAACCGACAAGTTAATCTCCCAGATTCAAGAAAATCCCAATCAAACAGCGTAATTGAACGAATTAATTGCCCTTGAATCATATACCACCTCTTACAAACCAATGAATTCGAAAAATGCTGCGAAATCGGCACCTTAGAAAGAATAAAACTAAGCGATTCATCAGATAAGACAGAGAAAGGATCACCACCTAAAATCAAATTCTTGGAATTTGAATTGGAATTACTGTGAGCTTGTTGAAGCTGCTGCATTCTGAAGATTGCATGCTTCAATTGCTGATCCTTAAACCATAGCTCCGGTAAGCTCGGTCTTCTCTTCCTCGGAGTTTCGCTAGGGTTAGGGTTTTTGGGATTATTATCTTCAATTGCTGCCATTTTCAATTAATTTGGGGATTTTTCTGGGTTTGTAATTGAAATGAAAAAACAGAAAGAAATTAGGGTTTGTTGAATTCAAGTTTGTACAATCTTTGAACTTTTCTCTCTCCTGTTAGCGTCGCTATTTCCAACGGATCATTTTTTTGATTAGATTTGTGGGGTGTATAAAATTTTACTACCTGATTATTATTGTATTTTCAATTTACTTTTTGTTTTTTTCTTCAGGAGGATTTATCAAGTGTAGTCGTGTATTCGTGTAGACGATACCACGTTGTATCATTTTTTTTTTTAATTTTATAAAGATATACTTCCTCCATACTCATTCAATAATTGTCTCACTTTTTCGGACACAGAGTTAAAAAGTACGATTGAAGTGGAGTTGGTGGGAGATTATAAAATTTTGAAAAAGCAAATGTGCGTATAAGATTAGGGGATCATTAGTGGGGAGGAAAATAGTTAAATATTGTTAAAAAATTTCAAAAAAAGAAACGGAGCAATTATTTAACTATGGTCACAAAAAGAAAGTTGACAAGTAATTATATACAGAAAGAGTATTTCCCATTTTACTCCTTAACTTTTAACAAAATATTTTAAAATAATTAACTTTTACGAGTAGTAATTTTAAATTATTGATGATTAGATAAAATTATTTCCTTCAAAAAAACCACAAAGGGTGTATGTTAAAGTTTGTTACAGAGTTGTCATATACATATTCAAAGTATAGATTTTCTATCCTCTAAAATTTTAACATTCTCACCAAAAAAAAAAAAAAAAAATAAATAAATAATATTAGAGTTATTATACGGCGTAATATCCTATCAATTTGCATTAACAAGCGCGAAAAAATAGAATACTAGGAGGAGCTGAGGAAGTATAAACGTTTAATTGTTACTCCGGGTGGTGTGATAGGAGAGTGCATGGATAGTAGTGTAGGCTTGCGAAACAGGTGATTAGAGCAAGAGATAATAATTGGAAAATGGGGTAGAGTTAAATTTGGATGTAAGTGAGGTGAGGGAAACTGGAAAGAGAAAGTAGTGCGGATAGCACTATTTATGGTGTTGTTGTCACCTACCTACGTCTTTTTTTCAAATTTTGCACGCCCGTGTGTTTCCAATTTTTGACTTTAATAAAATTTATATCGTTAGTTTGTGGTGGTGCTCACAACTAACGATATAACAGGATATTATTTTAAAATTTATAAAATCGGAATCGAAACCTGTTAAATCTATTGGAGGAAAATGAGAATCGGATACTTTGTCTTTTTATACTTTCGTTCTATTTTGTAAATTTATTTTTTAAAAAAAGGATAATCTTAAATTTACAAATCTTATAGCTTACAATTACAACAATTCAAATATAGTTTTTTAACAAATATAATACATATATTCACAACTATTAATTTTATTTTATTTTACTAAAAATTGGACTTGAATTGATGTATGTGATATAGTGATACTTTCATCAGGTTACATAATACCCTACAAGTTCTGATTTCAAAAAATTGAAAACCATAACCAGATTCTGTTGCAACAGGTTCTCCATTTTACTACCCGAAAGTCCGAAACCTTTTACACAGGTTCTGGCTCAGAAACCTGCGGTTACAAACAGATTTGAATTTTTATTCAGGGTACCTTGAATTTTTGCTCAACCCTAGTGCTCAATTTATGTTTCTACGGAGTAATTATTAACTCTCCTAAAACTTTGAATTGGTCAAAGTGAATTAGGAACTACCTGAGAACAAATGAAGTACTACATACGACTTTTATTTTTGAAAGGTCGACTCACTTACTATTTATTTTGCAACCTTGGAATATTTTATATATCACAAATAATATTTCAAAGTTGCAAAAAATATAAACCGGAGGTAATATAATTTGCAATTTATATAATAGAAATAAATTAGCATGTGAGTTTTTATTAGTTTTCTTTATAAATTTTTCAAATATCAACATTTATATATATATATTTTTTATTATTATATGTAGCCAAATCATTTATGTCAAAGATGTCATTAAATATTGTATAAATGATAAATGAGTCGAACTTTTATAGTAGGAGGGAAAAAGTAATTTAGAGAGAGATTACGCCAACTGTCGTACGAGCACCACAAAGTGGATGTTCATATGGACTAGGCCTATTTGTATTTATTCGCCAATCTACGGCTCAAAGGTCGACCCATCTTGATAAGATGACTCGAATTGATATTTTGAGGTGTGACCCAATAAGTATGAAAAATTCATGCTTTTTAATTGACGGTCCAATGATCAGGTACAATATAGCCAGGCCACCATGCTTAGGTTGAGTTTTTTGTACTAGTAGTTAAAGTTTTAGCTCAATTGACTTTTTTATAAATGCGGTGGCTGGAAAACGTTAAAAATTGAAAACTTAAATCACACGGATTACGAAAATTCGATAGCAGTCTTGCAGAAGTAATAAATGGGCAGATGGGCTACATAGTTATGATGCAACACTAAAAAAACTTCGCATATGACCAAAACCCAAAGTTAGAATTCCTAACTTTCGTAACTTGGTGATATTAGATACGGTGTAAATATTCATATAATAATATGTACACTGAATACGATCTCGTCAATAAAAGTCCAAATGCATATCAAGTTATCAACTAGCTTAGTTAGTTAAAGGTACTTAAAATTTGAGATCGAATCTTATCTACATTATTGTCTTACGACTCTCTTTACTAAAAAAACTAAACATTAATTATGTATGATTAAGTAATATATCTCAGCTTCTGTTTGTGTTAAATATCTATATACGTGTTAAACAAATGTAAAACTTAAACAATCAATGTTATCAATCATTTTTTTATTTACTAATCAATATACTCTTATAAATTAAGCCCATAATTTATGTTTACAAATGTTACTTAACATTTAACTTACTATCCTAACCGAAAAGTTGAAGTATTCCTGGATTCCATGGTAGTTACCTAAACGTGAAGTATGTATGTCGGACTTGAGATCTCATGTTAGCGAGTATGAAATTAAAAAAAAAATTAAAAGACCTCGTGATCCAATGGATTAATCAAATGAACATTTAGGTTTTAACTTGTAAGAACTAAGAAGACTTAAATCCAACAAAGGGGAGTGAGTCTATAACTAATGCTTGGTATGCATACTAGAGGTGTATATGCCGATCAACTTAATATATATGTGAAAAATATCATAATTATGTAAAATAAAGTTTTGAGTCACTCTGCATCTCCAATAATACTCCATACATAATATTAAAATCTAATATCAAATATCGTCCATAAAATCATCAATGTAAATTTGTACTTCCATAGTATGATCAAGTACTTGGCAATCGATTAGTGAGTCACTGCTTTAGATAAGAATGGAAAGGCAAAGCTGAAGCGACTAATGAAACAAAAAATGGCCAAGCATAATTGGAATTTGTACTTCCTCTGTATAATAGGAATGAATAACGATCACATAAACTGTAAACAATATAGGTGACAGTACGAAAATGGCCAAGCATTTGCATTGAATTCATAAACACAATGAAACAAAACATAACACAATTCATGAAAGCACAGAAATATATGAATGGGCTTTGCATAGATACTTGATGATGCAACTTTTTTGTAATGATATTGATATTATTACAAGTATAATATAATGAGAACTATGTAGTGGAGTACTTCCATTGTTTCGTAATAATCGTAATATTAGGTATTTTACAAAGTTTAAGGAAAATTATAAGATGCTGACCAAAATATGAATTTTATGATATAAAATATAGTTTCAGACAAAATATTCAAATTGAAAATTAAAGTTAAGAAAAAATGTTGTATATAAAACTCATGATTAAAAGCCCAACTTCTACTAGAGACATCTTCCTGACTTATCACTGGTACATTAGAAGCCCATTTAAGAGCCAATTACAAGGCTTTCCATATAAAACCAAAACATCATAATAAAAATATATAAAATTGAAATAACATAAAAATAAAGCCCATTATTGAATAGCCCGTTTATATGTCGTGGACTACAATTGTACACGCTCTCAGTATTTGACACTAAAATATATTTGAGGGGCAAATGGCAATTTAAGTTACTATCATATTTTAATTTATTTTTTAATACAATTTCCACTGAATCTTACCTCTTTGCTTAGGTTATAAAACCTAAATAAGATAGAACTTGTACTTTGTATTATTATCTAAATAAGCAAAAATCATGAACCAAAATCATTGTGTTCCTATTTGGAATAATCTAGAAGATGGTGGTAATTCTATCCAATTACAACCGCCGCCACCACCGCAGCCGCCACAACTGCCGCTTTCAAAAGCTCTTCCTTCGCAATCTCTATCCGCCTCCCTCTCCGCTGGTCCTGATACCTCCATGTATGCACTCTTCCCCTACAACTAACTAAGCTAGTTTTATTATACGCTTATTATTATCATTATCATTATTATTATTATTACTCATTCGGTCTCAATTTACATGTCCAATTTAATTCAAATTCTCTTACATGATATGATCAACTAGAACAAGTAATAAGACGGAGGGAGTATTATTATTATTATTATTAACACTGAGCTATATATCTGTCTCACTAAGTTATATTAGCTCCGATCATATGTGTCTTACTTTTTGATACTTCTTAGCATGATGCTAGACCAGTTTTTTTTAATGAGTAGTTAGATACACTTAATAAGTTACATAAATTCAGTTAGGGCTTGCATTATATGAACATAAAATTAAAAAGAAAAATAAAATAATATAAAATCCCAAGTACGGTGATCAGTCATTAATCATTGAATTTATTTTGAGTAACTCAAACGATTTATTTAAAGTCATTATTATTCTTTATATTTTGTAGGATAAAATCAGTTATAGTGGAAAGAACAATTTGAAATGAAAGGATAGATTATTCATTATGTGGTGATCACATTTTGTAAATTTATTTTGACTAAATCTAATATAAGTTGAATGCCAAAATAATTAACAGGCTAGATTACGAAATGGCGGAGCTAACATGGGAAAATGGGCAACTCACAATGCATGGCTTAGGCTTACCGCGCGTACCAAGCAAATCCAACCTAGCCGAAGCCGTGGCGTGGCCTGAAAAAACCTCCACACGTGCCAACGGCATGCTTGAGTCCGTAGTAAACCAAGCCTATCAAAACCCAAAACCGACACCCTCTCGAGGGCGCCAAGGCACGTGTGAGCAAGACGAAGACGACATCGTTCCGTGGTATGGGCCACTAACACCAGCTCCTGTTCCCGTGACGCTCGACGCGCTCGTTCCAAATACGAATGTGATGGGTTGCTCCACGCGCGTGGGGTCGTGCAGTGCAGCGGCGCGTGTTCCAATGGGTTCTGATTGGAGCGTGAGTAAGAGCGCGACGGAGAGTACTAGGAGGAAACGACATGCGGAGGACACGTGTGAGCAGTTGAGAAGTATGAATAATAATAACGGTCTTACGTCCACGTCATTTGGACCTCCTTCACCGGGAAACACCATGACTATTACTGTTGACGACCATGACTCGGTAAGTCATAGTAGGTCTCAGGTAATTTTCTAATCCCGTCTTTTTAATCTCACAATAATTTTTTTAAAAGGAAACATTAGGTGAACATTTTATTAAATCAAATTGAAGTAAATAATTTATTAAAGTGGCAAACCTTTAATTAAGGGAACCAATGAAACATACAAATCCTGCCTTATTTACAATTTTACATCCTATCTAAGGTGTATCAATAAGATAAGTCAAAGTGTTGCTCATCCTCAACATAAGAAAATAATTTTTTAATCACTTGCAAAATATTTAATCTCAGAAATTATTTAATTAATAATGTTTTTTTTAGGGAATTAATAATGTTTATTCATGAAGTATAATTAGGCCAAAAATAAAATAAAAAATATTGCCATTTATATTTTGGAGGTGTACGTGTATTAAACGAAGTAGCTTACAAGTCACAAATAAAGATAATAATTGCATATTGGCAATATGAGGTTATCATTACATGATAGCTATGTAACTATGTAATTATATATACATGGTGGTGTAACCATTTTTTGTTTGTATATATGTCCGATAAAATACCCTTTTCAATTGGAAATTCTAGGTACTAGAATTGGATTAAATGTGTATTTTTTTCATGTGAATTGTTGATAACAAGTAACAACAACATTTAGATTTTTGAGCATGGAGGGAGATAATTATTTGATGATAGCCAATTAGTTAAGAAAGATTGAGAAATTTTGATATTTAACATTTGTTGCACAAGGAATGGAATAAAGTAAATGCCTAATTCTTAGAAAGCAAGATTCAATTGTGAATGTCAAGAAAAAGGTAGAACTCCGTATCAACCTTATTGATAAAGTCATACGCTAAAATCCTAGTGTCTTCATTTTTTTTTTACTGGTATGGAGTTGATGTTAATGATAGTCCCTACGCTCAAAAAGTAGATATTAATGGTTAAATTCAATTCATTAAGAGAAAAATATTCTTGTAAAACTTTATTCTTGTGTCCTATTTCAAATTGATCCCTTATCACCTTATTATATGGTTTGGTACTCGATTCATATTAGGGGTAAGCTTTCAAGCCAAAATCAATAGCGAATCTTTGGAAAAAAGAAGTGGTACTCTCACAATGATTTCAAGTGTTGCTATTAGGTCACAATTCCAATTCCATTGTCTCTATCTAATCTTTGAAAAAAAGAAGTGGCATGGTATCCTCACAATCTATTTCATGTGTTGCTATTAGGTCACAATTCCAAATCCATTATCTCCTATATATTTGTTCATTGTATTGAGTCTATATAGGGGGAAATCACTAGTAAGCAAGAATAATCCACTATAGCTAATATGAAGAAAAAAAAATGTTTTCTATATTCATGTGTTGAAAATTAGGTCATGATTTCAAATGTGTATATCTTTTGCTATTTGTTGATGTGGTCGGTCCATGTTGGGGCGTCCTTAGCTTTCAAATAAAAAACAAAACTCATCAACAACTAATACAAAGAAAAAAGGTACTATGCAAATGTATTAGGTCATGGTTAATCATCAATGGCCTACTAGTTGTTCATGGGCATGTTAAGAATACAATAGTTGTAGAAGGATCCAACAACGTAACCAATCTGTAGAAAAAAAAAGACTTTTTACAATTTTATATATATTCTCGTGTGCTATATCTTACATTGGATCACAAATTCAAACTCTTGATAACTTTTTAGTTAATTACATTGAGCCTGTGTTAAGGAAATCCTTATAAAGTAGAAACTCACTAATAATCTTAATTCTTAAGAATAAACATGATTGTATAAACACATTTTTGTGTTGCATATTAAGACACAATTCCAAAATCCTTATCGCTAATGTCAATTGTTTTTCATCCACGAAAAATAAAAATAGAAAAACATTTAAACTAACATTATGTTTAGTAGATGGTGATATACAAAGGAAAAATTCATGGGAAAAATCCCACCTTTGGGTCATTCGTTTTTAATAATCACACCTTTGAGTTATTTTTTAATAATCCGACCTTTACCCCCCATTCTTTTTTATTGGTCTCAATCGGTCATGTAACCTGTTATAAAAGGTTGCGACCTGTGATTGGCCAAAAAAAAAAATAAAAATAAAACAAAAAAAGAAAACCAAAAAAAAAAAATAACAAAAAAAATATAAAACAAAAATCAGCCAGCCACCATGGAGGCAGGGAGCCAACCCAGCCACCAACCAGCCCCCTCTTCACTCACGCACCACCCTAACTTACCCTCAACCTCCACCATCACTCACCGCCCAAACTCGAATCAACAACAGCAGCCCAGCAGCTCGCCACTGCTGCACCTGCTCGTCACCCTGAAGCACCACACCACCACCAATCGCACCCTCATCACCTCCCATTTCTCCACCCATTCACAGCAGCAAAACCGCAGTTAAGCACCACCATTTTGGCACACAAACAGCCTCGCAATTGGCAATTACGCCCATGCCCCAATTCAGCCAAAGAATCAAGGACTCTTGAGCAGGCGCTCAGCTATATCGAAGCGGACACTCCTATTTGTTCAATGTTTTCAACTTTGAGACAGGAAGTTCAGAGCGGTAGCTTCGAATGGTATGAGCATCTGCTCCATTTTCGCGTGAGAAATTGTACAAATTAATGAAATTGGACGGCCACGATTCCTTTAATTAATCCAAAGGCAGAGATTTTGCTGATGCTTGTTGATGATGTAGCTGATTGAAGGTGATGAATGGTGAAGATGATGGTCGATGATGATTGAATGATGATGAATGAATTAGAGCAGCCAAAAATGAATCGAAGAGGAGGGGATTAAGGAGTCTGATATTTTTTGGGGACTTTTAATTCTTTTTCTTTTTTCTTTATTTTTTATTTTTTATTTTTATTTTTATTTTGGACAGATCAAATTGTGACACGTGTACATTAATAAAAAAAAAAATTACCTCCTCAACCGGTTTCAGGTAAAATGGGACCAATAAAAAAGAATGGGGGGTAAAAGTCGGATTATTAAAAAATAACTCAAAGGTGGGATTATTAAAAACGAATGACTCAAAGGTGGGATTATTCCCATGAATTTTTCCATATACAAAAGGGGTTCATGGTAATAACACATAGTAAGCTATATGTAATTTCACACACAAAAAAAGTCAAATTGTAAATATTTTTTTAACAAATTTTCATTACCATTCTATCATACCACTTCTAAAGTTCTAATGAAAAATTACCAAATTTGGGGATTGACAAGTATTGCTATGGCTTTTTTCTTTTCACAAAAGTAGATAAACATTCAAACATTCATTATCACCTAGGCACACCTACTAAACAAGCAGTTAATTTTAATTACTTTTTAATAAGTTTTATTCCATCCATTTAGGATAAATAAAATTACCACCTATCAAACAAGTTGTTAGTTAACTTTAGTTACATACCTTTATTGAATCTTGGATTATATAAATCACTATTATTTTGTTAATTTTAATTAATTAGTTTCATTAATTTTATAATTTATAGAGGGAAAGAGGTGAAGAAGAGGAAAATCAAAAGCAAGGTACAGCAAAATCAGGTGTATCAACAAAAAGGAGCAGGGCTGCTGCTGTTCATAATCAATCTGAAAGAGTATGTCCTCTGTTTGTCTGCTACTTGTTTCTTCACAAATATAACCTCATTTATCTTTTGTTAGCAATTTTAGTTGACATGTCAGGATCAATATTATGTCAATGCTATTTTAATTTTATTTTAAAGGAACGTCACTATCAACCTTTATAAGGTAATGATTGGAGGATTATCCTATAATTAGTTGTTTGCTAATTACAGTTGAATTAGGTTTGCTAGATTTAATTAAAGATTAAAGGTGACGTAAAAGTGGTTTTTTTTTATCATATTCAATATTTATATTATACTGGTACTGATTGGTAATTTATTTTTATATTGATATTTTATTATTGTTATCTTTTTTATTGGATTTGCTTGACATACATCATCATCATGTCATCACATTTTGTAATCTCATAATTTCATAATTAATCACATGGTAAACAAATTCTCAGAAAAGAAGAGACAAGATCAATCAAAGGATGAAGACATTGCAAAAGTTGGTTCCTAATTCAAATAAGGTATGTACTCCCTCCATTTTTCTACACTTTTACAATAGTTAAATTCTTTAGAAAACAATGAAAATGTAAAATGTGAGCGAATGTAAGGAAAATACGGATAAATTAAAAGAGATAAAGTAGAAAGACATACAAAATTCAGAAAAAAAAAAAGAGAGGATAAAGTAAGAAAATGAGCTTGAAAATGTGTAGATGGTAAAGATGTTTGTGAAAAATATAATTAAGCCGAAAGTACCTCAAAGCATAAAGTTGGTAGAATAAAAAAAAAACGTATATAGTATATCTGAATTGAAGTGCTGAGCTTCAAGAATGATGCTCTCTTGACGACATGACGCCAAGTGCATGAGAAGTGTATGAGGTAAAAGGGAAGGAGTTCTTCCTTACTCACGATGGCAAGTGCATAATAACAAGTGTGTTTTCTATAAGGGAAAGTGTCATTTACTCGCTAATATAGTACCACTATCCTTAGTACTTTCAAGGGCATAACAAATGTGTCCTCTAAAAGAGCAAGTGTCATCCACTCGCTAATGATAACACTGTCCTTAGTACTTTCAAGTTTCAAGTGCACACAATAATTTATTGTTTAATCTAGGATAAAAGATTGTGTAGTAAAATTACGAAAATTATATAGGGGGTCAATAACAAAAAAGTCTTTAAATTCATGATGTTGCTGGGCAAGTGGATTTAACAAGTACTCCAATGAGCATCGCAGCCACTAAGACCTGGCAAATTGATGGAAAATGTCTACTTTGAGTCTTCATTTATATTTATACAGGGAATCGAAATGACACCTTTACATTATCTTCTCAACATGGTTCTTGATGCCTCTAGCTAGTAAGTAGCCATTGTGAATAGGAGAATAAGCATTTAAATTCTTTCTAGTGTTGTCAACCACATTATTGTGTTAGGTAATTCCTCAATTCATGGTCCAAGATCACTATACTTTAAATTGTAAATATTATCAGCAATTTTGAACAAAATCGAATAAAATTAAAGTATCATATATGTAATCTACCACACCATTATTAGACGGTATGGTGTGACTCGTGTTCACACATGGATACTTTATTTCATGCCATGCCATGATGTAGAATTATTAAAAGTTTTATGTGTATTTTTTTTTTTTTTTTTTTTGAGAACTCTATAATTTTATAGAATATTAGCTTTGACAAAAAAATGTAATGATGATTGAGTTATAATTCAGTGGTAACACACATGATGTGGCGTTGATATAATAGTAAGGTAAAAACCGAGTAAGATTTAATAATAATAATAATAATAATAATAATTTAAAGAAAAAAAAAAAGAATTATTAAAGCTAAAGGGATGAAGAAAAGGCGATTAAAATGGGATTCCATGTAAAATGCAACATCTTTTACCTTTGAGCATAAAGAACCTAAAGGTCTAAAATAGGAGGGCCATGAAAGACAAGTAATCTAGTGGTTTTGGATTTTTTGGGGCATCCATTTATCTTCTCCACATAGTTTAGCAATTTGGATACATATCTGATATCTCATACTACGTATATTTGATGTTAGCCACATATATAGATTTTTTTGGGTAGCATTTAATATAAGATACACTATTGTTAAATAAAAACACAAATTGTAGATATTTTGACCAGTCTTTTCGATTTAATAATCGTAGCAGTACAATATGTTTATACATAAATTTTTATACAAAAAAAAAAAAAAAAAAAAAAAAAAAAAAAATTGTTGGAGGGGCCTACATGTTTCTTCATATCTATTGGGATTTGTTTTTTGGCTTTTAATTTGGTGGCTATAAATTTCGGAAAAAATGCTCCCCTTTTCAATTTCATAAATACAGAACATTGTTAATTGAGGTCCACCATCTTGACTATCTGAAGCAACTTGGGGTTAGAATGATTCTAACAAGAATAACTACTTCCTAGTCGTTAAAAAAAAATGAAAAAGAAAAAGAATAACTACATCCTATATGATTAAAACAAAAGGTTTTCCTAAAAAAAAAAAGTTGATATTCTTTTTTGGATGCAAAGAATTTGATAGAGATCAAGTGCTTATTGCATAGTAAGATTAAAGTATGTAATAATTATTTTAAACATATGTGGAATTTCTCTTAACTAATCACCTTACCTTGTGTGTCATTTATAGTGCTAATCAAGTGTTGTCTATACTATAGACTTTTAGAGTAAAATAGCGCACTTTAATTAACATTAAAATTTTGAAACCTTTATCTTTGGTAAGTGTCCCAATCTAGTTTGAAATTATTTAGTAGTCCGTTGTGTTATAATGGTTTTTCTTAATGAGAATGGGATGATTTTCCTAGGAGTTAGCTTTCATTTTGTGACTAGGGTATACCAACTTCTCCTCTTAGCTACTAATTATGTGATTTGCACTTCATTATACATCATTTAATTATAGAATTAAGGCATGTTTATAACCTTTGATTATCTATTTTTTTTTTTTTTTGGCAGACAGACAAGGCTTCAATGCTTGATGAAGTAATTGAATACCTAAAGAATTTACAAGCACAAATTCAAATGCTAAGTCGAATGAGTTTGCCGCCCATGATGATGCCACTCGCGATCCAACACCAACTACAAATGTCGATGATGGCTCCGATGGGAATGGGTATGGGGATAGGTATGGGAATGGGAATGGATCACATGAACATGAATATGATGAACCCCATGGCACGGCCGCCTAATGTGGCCGGAGTCCCTCCCTCTTTCATGAATATGGCTGCTGCTTATAACATGCCATTAGTGCCGCCAACATGTGATGGTACCGGTAACCCTACTGGTGGTAGTGAATGCCTGTTGCCTCAAGGAGCCATGGTCCCGGCGGATCCCTTATCAGCATATCTTGCATGCCAATCACATGTAAGCACGTCAATTTACATTATTGGTATCAATATATTTGTTAGATACAAGTGTGTGTACATATAGTACGTATGTACGTTACTAATGTAACAATGTTTAATTTACAGCCGATGACGATGGACGCATACAGTAAGATGGCTGCCATCTATCAACAACTACAAAAACAAACACAGCAACAAATAAACCATCATCAACAAAATGCACCAAGATAGTTCCAATATAGGCTAAATGTGAAGTACGTTCTAGCCAGGATTACGTATACTCCCTCCGTGTTTAATAAGTGTTACACTTATCATATATTCGGTCATGTTTTAATAAGTGTTACACTTCTTTTTTTGGCAATTATTTTTTGGCAAAAAGCTACCTTTAAATATTATATCTCTCTCCTCTCATGGTTTCCATCCAAACACGGGCGAAGCCAGGATTTTCAAGTCCTGGGGGCCAGACTTATTAGACAACAGATTGATGGAAAAAAATTGAAAGGTACTAATATTTTATTGTCACAAAAAAAATTAGTTTAAACCAAAACATCTCTAAGAAAATCTAGTGTTTTTTATTTCACGATTTAACCTATATCAATACAAAAACAACCATTCTCAAATTAAGTAGCATATAACCCTAAAATTTGATCCTAAAGGTCCATTCAATTAATTAAAAATTAGCCAAAATTATTATATAATAAACATATTAAGCAAGTAATCAATTAATCACAATCATGTAAATAGCACAAAGAAATTTATTAATTGAATGAAATTACATAATTTAAAAAAAATTAATCAAAAAGAAGAATTTCAAATTATGGGATTGATTTGCTATTGAACAATAGTAATTGATGAGTTGAATATCAAAATATGATTGCCCTCCAAACATATTACTTTGATGATATTAAGTTATTGGGAGATTTGGGCTTTATTAAGGTATATTTATTGTCATATATGTGTCTTGAATACTATATATACTAATTTTAATGTGGGCTATAAAATATAATACATGGGCCACAAATCTGGGCCGGGGAGGCCGGGCCTCCACCAGCCCCCCCCCCCCCCTCTGTCCCTTCGCCTGCACCCAAACCCACTATTACTTTTTTTTTTATTATTATATATTTCTTCTCACATTCATTACTTTTCAATAAACTATTAACTCCACTATTTTTTTTTTACAATTTTTTAATACTCCAATTACCCCACTTACCTCTTATTTATTTAAGTCAATTAAATTGCCTAAAATTATGTGCTAGTCAAACTGTAACACTTATTAAAACACGGAGGGAGTATACATAAATATGTTTTTATATTATGAACGTGTATACGCATATAAAGCTCATGACTAATGAACTGTATATTTGTATTTATTTGAAGCTTGAAAGTTATTAAATAGGGAGTACTACATATAATATATACTTGTACTTAGCTTGTTTTATTTGAAGGTTGATCTGAAATAAGTTTTGGCATTTATTCGCATACCCCTCTGTTTTTTTTTTTTGTTAATTAATAAAAGTATGATTTTGACTTGTGAGCTACTTTGAACAAAGTATTTATTTACAAACTTTGACTTTATTTTTTCACTAGGTTAAAATCTTGTGTAATGCACGGTTGTTGATTAGGGGATTTTTATCCACCAATCACCGTCTGACAAGTGGACCAACCAGGTTCCGCCACGTGTCCTTCACGAAGGCCAACAGGAGCTTGCCACGTGTCAGTCACAGATACGTCCTCCACGGACCACTTAAGACACGCCACGTGTCCACCCATGCCAAGTGGGACAACCGGCCATCAAGGCCCAATTCAGTCTAGAGGCCCGATCAGCCCTAGGTTTACCTTAAACCTAGAGAGTTGCACGCTTCCCAAGGCTATAAATACCCGATTAATCCTCATTAATCAACAACCGAATAATTAAGAGATCAAGCAGAGAAGAACAGACTTATTAACAATCGGCTAATCTCGCTAACAACGCAGATTACCAACACTAAGCACTCTCACCTAGAGAGATCTGATTACTTTAATTTCTGTATTGATTACTCCTTAATCAGGTACTAACTTGACCGTTGGAGGCGGAGCTCTCAGGAGTCTCCGTTATTTTGCAGGTACAGGCGTCCGGTTCCAGTCTCGGAATTGTAACTCTCCCGCAGGACATCAGAAAACCCCGAAACATTTGGCGCCGTCTGTGGGGAGAGTACTTCAGAGATGGCATCCAAGTCTGTACCGACTCCAGAAGAGAGGCGTCCCCTAGACGACCCTCAAGTTCAGTCGGACCATGATACCGAAAGTGAATTTGAAGTTGAAACTCATACAGCTCCAGACGGGACCCTAAGGGCCCGCCGTACCCGTCATACTGAAATAAGGGAACGGGAGTATCTTCAAACAGGAAGCGAGCCAGCAGGCGCATCGCTTGCTCGGCAACAGCCGACTGATGGGTCTGCTCCCATCACAAGGAACGAACTCATGACCTTCATGAGGGGCTTCAAGGGAGAGATCCAAGATTTGATCAACAAAAAACCGCCTGCTTCAGTCAAAGAGCAGTCGGCCAAAAAACCTTCCACTTCACTGAAGAGGAAGCCAGTTCAAGGGCGAGAGGCGACTCCCCATCCTAAATCTAAGAAGCGGGAGCCGTCTGCTCTTGATTTCACAAAACTCCGTTATCCTACGGGAAATAGGAAACCGGTTCGTCATATTCAGGCGGACGGGTCAAAGCAAACGTTCACAGATGCTCGGCACCTGCTAGAGCAGAAGAAGAGTGACCGATTATCAGAGTCGACTTCTACTTCAAATTTTCAGGACAGTTTGCGAAATGCCTCTATGAGGCCAACTCAGTCGTACCATGAGAGTCAGTCAGGCGGCACCTCCCGTCAGTCCGGCTTTCATAGTGCACAGGCGGTACCAAACTTGCCATTTGTGCCGCAACAACAATATTTTATGCAGCCACCTCCATTTGGTGGACCTGCAGCAAAAAACGTCCAACCTATGGACTGGCAGCTACGGCTGCTTAGACTTGGTGAACAGCCGTCGGCCTTCTCCAAGGAAATTACTGAAGCCGCTCAGCCGGCAAAAGTAAAAAATGTTTTAGTAGGCGCCTATGATGGCACTACTAACCCGGAAGACCATCTGATGGCATTCACCAACCTGATGTACCTTCAAGGGTTGGATGATCCCACTTGGTGCAAGTGTTTCCCAGCGACTCTCAAGGGAATTGCACAGCAATGGTTCGGCAACCTGCCGACTGGTTGTGTAAACAGCTTCAGGACGCTTGCTTACTTATTTGCCTCCAACTTCGCAATGAACATACCTGCGAAGAAAACGACCCTTGATTTGGGAACAATTCAGCAGGGTGAAAAGGAGGGGCTTCGTTCCTACATCAGGCGGTTCAACCTGATGAGAATACAGATTCAAGGGTTACCGGATGAGGTAGCTTATACTGACTTTTTTAGAGGTCTCAAAGACGGGTCTACCTTCAAATTTGATTTAGTTCGAAAAAGGGTGGCGACTCTTCAAGAGGCCTTGATTGAAGCAGAAGCCTATATACAGGCGACTGATCTGTGTACGATGAAACAATCGGACGGGAAGAGGTTCGACAATAGAGAGGGACGACAGAAACAGTCGTCCAACAAAGATGAAAAAAGAAAAGGGGTCTGGGCGGCTGATTCCTCTAAACAGCCGGCCCAGAAAAAGAAAAAAGAATTCAAACCATACTCCCCAAAATATGTGTTTAACAAGGATAACCAGTTTATCCTAAAAGAAATAAAGGGACGGCTCTCAATTGAGAAGCCGCTCCCCATGAAGGGTTCTGCGAGCAACCGGAACCAAGACAAAATCTGTGCTTATCATGATGACATTGGTCATCACACCAATGACTGCATCAGTCTCATGCGGTACCTAGACCGCTTGGCTGATCAAGGTGATCTTGACACTTATGTCAAGAAATCTGCGGGAAACACTTCTTCAAAAAAGCAGTCGGCCAAAAAGAATCAGCAGGCCGACAGTTCTGATACAGATGATGCAGTCGTCTACACCATTGCAGGCGGCTTCTCAGGAGGTGGCCCCACTATTAGGGGCAACAAAGATAATATAAGGCGGTTAGATGTAAATTCCGTTCACCAAGAACGACCGTCCAAATATACATTTCCTGAGATTGTCATCACTGAAGAGGATCTAGGAGGAATAAGGGGGCCGCATGACGACCCTCTCGTTATTGAATGTAAAGTGGCCAACCAGAGAGTTGGTCGAATCCTCATAGATACCGGGAGCTCTTCAGATCTCATCAGCAGCAAATGTCTGTCAAAACTGAAATATCAGACGGACTGCATACATCCGGCCTCCCACCCTTTAATAGGGTTTGGAGGAGGAGTCGTTCACCCACTGGGACGAGTAGATCTACCCATCCGCCTGGGCGAAAAAGGGGAAGGACGACACATGGTAGTCCGGTTCCTAGTGGTAGAGGAACTCTCTGCCTACAACATGATTCTGGGTCGACCAACCCTGAATAATTCCAAGGCTGTTATAATCCCGTCACTTATGCTGCTTAAGTTTGAAAGGGACAATGGAACAGTCGACTCCCTTAGGGGAGATCAGAGGATGGCCCGAGAGTGCTATCTCTCGGATGTCAAGCCCACTGTTATGGCCACTGGGTCAAGTGGAGAAAAAACAGACCTTGACAATGTCAAGGAAAGTGCGCCTGTTCAAGAAACAGGCGACAAAAAGAGAAAGGCACTCCAGACTGAGTCCGCAAGAAAAGCAAGAAAATAGCAATCATTGGCAGAGGACCGGCCGGATGAGTTCCGCCCTCAGCCGGCTGGTGAACATGCGGACCTGATATTAGACGACTCCCATCCTGACCGAACAGTCAAAGTAGGGACGACTGCTCTGAGAAACCTTGGTGACGACTTTCACAACCTGTTGAAAGAATACAAGGACATCTTTGCATTTGAAGTCCATGAAATGCCAGGCATTAGTCCTGATCTGGCAGTACACAAACTCGCTGTGGATCCGAAAAAGAAGCCGGTACGACAAAAGAAACGGAACCATGGTGAAGAAAGAGGTCAGGCGGCAGCCGCCGAAGTCAAAAAATTACTTGATGCAGGGTTCATTCGGCAATGTTACTTCCCAGATTGGGTTGCAAATGTGGTACTTGTTAAAAAGCCGAATGGCACCTGGCGAATGTGTGTAGACTACACAGACTTGAACAAGGCGTGCCCCAAAGACAGTTACCCTCTGCCTAAAATTGATAACCTGGTCGACTCAACAGCCGGCCATGCCTTGATGAGTTTTATGGACGCCTATTCTGGTTTTCATCAAATTCCTTTGTGGAAGAAAGATCAGGAGAAGACGGCCTTCGTCACTG